CAAGTTTATAGATACAGAGAACCGACAGGGGGTGGAGGATGGGGAAAATGGGTGACCTGTTTTGTTTTGTGTTTTAGTTTAAGTAAATTTTATTTTAAAAATAGTAGATTGTATTGCAGGCACCAGGAATGCAAAAAAATCACATAAGATGTAGCCTCTGCCGCCCAGGTGGAGGTACAAGACATGAACTTAGGAAGGGTTTGAGTATCAATGAGAGACAGTGAGGAACAGCACCCACCATGTGAATCTCATAGCCCAGCACAGCAGAACAGAGCACAGAAATGACATTTTTACTTAAAAACCCTTACACTGTGCAGATACTGCATCTTAATTATAATTCAGCCCTCATTTTCCTTATGACGATGCATCAATAATATTTGTCCCATTGTATGGGGCCCACTGGTTTCTGGGGAATGCTTATTTGAGGTCAAAACTGTATTATTTGATGTAATCTTCACCACAGCTCAATGAGGTAGTTATTACTACTCCCATTTTTAAGTGAGGCTTTCTTAGTAGGTTAGCCTTCTACCAGGAGTTGGCACACTTTTTCTTTTAACGGCCAGGTCATCAATGTTGCAGGCTTTGTAAACCATACGGTTTCTGTTGCAACTACTCACTTCTGATGTAGTGGCACAAAGACAGGCATGGCCGGTGTGTAGCAGAGTGAATGAGTGCAGCTTTTTTCCAGTAAAGCTGTCTGGACACTGGAATTTTAACTTCATGATTTTATGTTCGTGAAATATTACTGTTTTGGTATTTTGATATTTTCCCAGCTGTTTAAAGATGTAAGATGTATGGTTTCTAAGCCATTCTAAAATAGGTGTCGAGGTGAGCTGGCCCTCGGGCCACAGCTGGTTGGCAGGCTCCTGGCTTATCCTGCCGGTCAGTTGTGGAGCCAAACTGAGGTCCAGCAGAGCCAAAGCCCAGCGCTTCCCAGTCGCAAGTGGTCTTTCAAAGAAGCGAGGTTCAGGTGTGCTTTTATCATGGTTACTATGACTGTCTGATTCTAAAATTGTAGAGAAATAGCCAGTAATATTTGAAGGAGAAGGTAATGAGGGGCCTTTACTAATTCAGTTCAGAAACATCCATATGATAGCAGCTGATTGCAAGTATATTCAAAGGGGCTGTCAAAATTGAAGATTCACTTTGGCTATTTTCAGGGATCTGTGAAACAAAAAATAATCAAAGCCTATCTTTTTTTTAAGTGACTTTACAGGAAAATCTGAATTTCCTTCTAGAAGTGAAAATTAGCACTTAATGTTTTTGTGTATGTGCCCAAATGTACGTTTCCCAGACCTCCCTTCACTTAGCATAGACGTACCACTAGAGTCATGAGCTTAGGGAAACTTCAAAAACCTGCCCTTGGTAAACGACATAGCCCACAATTCGTGTTTGGAGCATTATTTGCATTGTAGCAAATTTAGAATCTTCAAGAGCACGTTGGCATTTGAGAGAAAGTGGCGGCTCCAAGCTCTTTGTTCTTTCTGGGCTTAGTAGGATTTAGGGTGCTTTCTGAGGGATTATTTTAGGTTAATTAATTAAATGCCAGCATATCCAACCAAAGATGTGAGGCAAGAAAATCTTACTAAAGAAGGCTCATTGTCTTTTAAACGACCATTAATTTTAATTTACACATTTACATTCCTCCTTCATGTGGGCCCATCTCACAGCATGTTGTGTAAGCGACTGCTTCCGTGGTTTCCCACAAGAGCAGGTGCTTACTTGTTCTGTTGCACGAAGCCCAGATTTACTCAATAGGAAGTTTGTGGCAACTATTACCAAAAAGTCTGAGCTCTCACATTATCTTGAGCAGTATCTTCAATAAATAAACAAAATGATGAAATAAAATGTTCATCTAAAAAAAAGTTCATCAAAATGTAGATGTCCAAGTGATAAAAAAACAGTGCAGATTCTGGAGATGTGGGTCCCGTATCTTAAAATCTTGGCACCTGCAGTGACAGGTATTCTGTTAATATTTTGCTCTGAGGATTTGCTAAATATGAAATGCAAGAGTTCTTTTAGTTTTTCGTCCTCTGATGGTGGCTAGACCTTTCGGATGTTATCGTATGCTATTGCACTGAGAAAAATTGGGAAAACCAGCAACACAATGAAGCCATCCTCCTCCCAGTGCCACCTGCCTTTGCTGTGTTTTGGTTATTGACAGCATTTGCATGTGAAGCACAATTATGTAGGGAAGAAAACTGCTGTCATGGGAGGTAGACAAAGCCCTGTCCATATTTTAGTTAATTGTAGCCTATTTATGTGATCCATAGTTAACGTTGCTCATTGACTTCTTGTATTGTTTGATGAGAGATAAAATGTTTATTGGCCCAAAACAAACCAGTATCTTCTGTTTTTTTCTAGATTGTGATACCATTCTTCAGTCTTTTAATCAAAGATATTTATTTCCTCAATGAGGGCTGTGCCAACCGCCTTCCAAATGGCCACGTCAACTTTGAGGTAAGGCTAGGCTGCAAAAATCCACTAGCCTTTCCGCCAACTGTAGCCCAGGCCAGGACACCTAAGCTGATTCTCAAGTTCTGGAACCAAGTTTTCTCTTCCCCTCCTGTTTTGTAAGAAAATAACAATCATGAATAGAATAAATTAGCTACACCATTATTCTTCATTATCATCTGAAAGTACCTGAGTAAATTTTTACCAACACCCAGCAAACATCTATACCTAGTGTTTATTAAATTTAGAAAGTTAGGCAGTTCAGAAAATCAGAAGCCAAAGGGGAAGATGAAATGGAATTATCTCATCCAAGCTCATGATTTTTGATCATTGCCTTTAAGTTCTTTCCTTTTATTCTCTTCTAGAAATTTTGGGAACTGGCCAAACAAGTGAGTGAATTCATGACGTGGAAACAAGTGGAGTGTCCGTTTGAGAGGGACCGGAAGATCTTGCAGTATCTGCTCACAGTCCCAGTCTTCAGTGAAGATGGTGGGTAGCCTGTTTAGCTGGAGCCACCACCACTATGAACTTTACCATCAGGAAATTGGTGTAGAAGTGCTTGGTGCCTGGTTGCTCATGTAGTGTGAGGCCTGTCTCTAGGGTTATTCCATATTCAGAGTTGTCTGTTGCACAGAAAAACCGTATGATTTATCCCTAAAGTATCTGAGTCAGGCACTCACTGACTCTTGACCCAGAAACAGTATGTTTCCATGTTTAAACATTCTTTATAATATTTGCTCTGCAGAGCTTTGGGCACGAATGGAAAGCTATGGCAGGATTTTTTTCCCCTTGTTGGGGCTTGCTTTAATGGAGAAAAAAGGTGTTTTGTGGTATGTTGATAGTCAAGGTAAACTGAAAAGCAACATAATCAGTTGCTACCCCTGCTGTTTGAAAAAGTAGTGGAGAAGTCTTAACATGTTAAAGCATTAGGAAATTTGAGTTGGAAACAGTGATTGTGTATAGAAAAAATTGACCAGAAATTTAAAGTTTGTAAAAAAGTGGGAATTTATTCTGTTGACCTGTTTCATCCTAATATTATAGAAATCAACAGCATTGTTAACAGATTTTCTCATAGTCTGTTGATGGTGTTTGTGAAAATGACTAAAGAACATTTTGAATTAATATCGCCCATTCCAGAGGGGACTTGATTGTTATTCACCTCTGCAAACAGGATTAATAACAAGCTTTTAAATCCTTGAACTCTTTTTGACTTAAACAGAAAACCATTAGAAGGATGAAACACTGGCCTAGAAAGTCTGGCTTTTTACTTGCCAAAAAGTCTTTTAAAAATTGATCTACCAGGAAAGCCTCTCCTTTCCATCCCCCTTCTTTGTAAAGAATGTAAGTGTGAGTGTATGATAGTGTTGTGTGGCTGGCATTTTTAAGCCTTTTTTGCCTCATATATTGTCTTCATTAGCCAAGTGTCTTAGTTAACCTTTTTGGCTTAGCGGCCCTTAGGTTTTTGTTGAGATGGTCAGCCAGGGGCAAAGTGGCCTTCTGTGCTCTCAGTGAAACTAGGAAGCTTGCCAGTGGTGATTTGACATTTTAAAGAGTGTGTTTTGCTGTCAGGTTTGGCTCCAGTGGAATAGGGGAGGGATGGTACTGGGTAATGCCTCAGAGAAGGCTTTGGTGTTAATGCATTCTTACTTTTCATTGATTGCAGCTCTCTACTTGGCTTCCTATGAAAGTGAAGGACCTGAAAATCACATAGAGAAAGACAGATGGAAGTCCTTGAGGTGGGTCTCCTTGCTTCTCGGTGCTGTGCGCATCTAAAGCTGATGGCGGGCTGCAGTGAAGAAGCCGCGTGTTTGCTGGGGGAAGGCCCTGCCTGCGCGTTCCAAGTCCTCTCTGCACCTCATCTGGTCACTGAATCTTTGTGGCTTGGAATCCTCATTGCCATCATTCAGTTTTACTGCCTCCTTTTTTTTAATGTATACTGGCAGATACACAGTGACTGTTCCTCTGTCTCTTCCATTATTTTATGGAAGGAGGAACTGAAATGACCCCATGGTATGTTAAACAGGGCAGCAGCTCGTTTTCTTTGTCTAAAAGATAAGGCATTCAGACTGTGTTCCTGAACAGTTCTACCACTAAAATTTTATTGGACCTGAGATAAAAGAGACCTAAGTCCCAACTGGTTCAGTAAATTCGGGTGTTTTACTTATCAGCTGGATGTCAGTGTCTGCTCTTTGGTTTGAGAGACAGAGAGGAAAAAAAAACTTTATTAAAACTTTTTTTTTCAATCATTCAATTAATTATTTTTAATGGAGGTACTGGGGATTGAATCCAGGACCTCGTGCTTGCTAAGCATGCGTTCTACCACTGAGCTGTGCCCTTCCCCATCCTGAGAGAAAAACTTTCAGTGCAATCCAGAATCTTTTCAACTTTAAAAATTTTATTAATCTATTAGTATTTTCAAACAAATGTACTTTCAGACAAAACTAGGATAGGCAAGTTTGCATTTTTACCATTGGAGATGCTTTAATAGGCAAAAGCAGCCCAGGCTGTAGTATTACTATAAACTAGAGTGCTGTTACCTGTGCTGCTACTCAGAGACTCTGGGAACATGTGCTTTTTTGTACCAGGTTGAGAAGCCCATTTTCTCTTCTTCCCAAAGTCATTTGAGAGCCTTCATTATACTTGATCCTGGGCTAGGCTTCCTGAACCAGGGTACCTAAGATACATTTGGATTTATGAGATTTTGTTTTAAAGGAAAATTTAGGCCTTGTTGGTACCTTTCATTAAGGACCGATGAGATGCAGAGGCGTTGTTACCCTTAGAATAAGCTGCAGTGATAGGTAAAGGATTGAAGATGTTTCTTGTTTCCCAGACGCAAACATAAGCTTTAAGTTACGGCCATCGCCGGGAATTGGGGGAATATAACAAGTGTGCTGGGCCGATGCCCAGTTCTCCTTTGATGAAATTTTGTACCTACTAGTGGCACGTTTGTATTAACATTTTGTACTACTTTGTGTTGGTATTAAGGGATCTTTACTGCACCATTTAATAGTATTCTTGTGTAAACCATGAGCCTCAGAGTACACATGTTGCTGGAAAAGAGATTTGGGAATTACTCCTTGGGGTTATTCTTTTTGGACGAACTTTGCCTTCCACGTTTCTCCTCTTATTCATCCCCCCTTCCCATTCTTTAAAAACATTAAGTTGATATGGCCCCTGAGTACAGCTTAGCTATTGTTACTTTTCTTAGAGATTTTTTTTAAATTGGTAAACAGAGAAATTGGGGTACATAAATGATTCCTGGTATCTGCATTGCCTGTGAAATCCAGACATACTATAACAATCCAGAGCTCCCACACATTTCTGTTCTAATTGTTTTTCTTTTCTGATTCTTATTCTTTTGTGCCATATTCCTATTGATTTGTGGTTATTTGGAAGGGTTTGTAAATCCAAGGGTTAATCGTAATGCTAAAGGTTAATTTATACAGTCTTTTCCCATATCTGTATGTACTGCACACACAATATACATTTAATATTTAACATTTGATAGGTTGAAATGTGACCAAAGAGTTCAGTGGGGAATTTAGATACATGAAGGGAAAGAGAGGGGTTGCTGTACTGGCCTAATCAGACTCCACTCAAAAGTGCTTAATAGTATGGTTACCAGGGAAAGGGGGTGGGAAGGGATAAATTTGGGAGTTTGAGATTTACAAGTTTTAGCCACTATATATAAAAATAGATTTAAAGAAGTTTCTTCTGTATAGCACAGGGAGCTAGGCTCAATATCTTATAATAACCTTCAATAAAAATGAATATATATATGTATATGCATGATTGGGACATTGTGCTGTACACCAGAAATTGACACATTGTAACTGTACTTCAATTAAAAAAAATAATTAAAAAAATTCAAGCAAAACAAACAAAAATAACTGCTTAATAGCAATGCTCCTAGTAAAAATTCACAGGGATTAGCAGCAGCACACACAGAATGAATGATACATAAGGAAATGTGCATATAAACACAGCGATGATGTATTCTTGGCATGAAAATCTAGTTTCCAAGTCAAAACTGTTTTTTCAGGGGCCTTGGAAGACAAACTCTCCTTTGAGTCTGGGTTTAAGCAGTGTACTCTGCTTTTCTGTATCTTGTCTAATCTCAAGTCCCCACTCCAGTACCTCCCTCTCCCTGACCCATCTCTCCCCAGAAAGAGACCCACATGAACTCATACACCCTGAAGCATCTTCCTCTGCTGTTATAGACCCAGTTGTTCTGTAGTGTGTGCTGCTTTTCCCTACTGCTGTGCAAGCCTTTGAGGGCAAGCACAGGGTCTTCCCTCCTGTCTGCCATGGCTCAGTGTCACAGGCTATTGAGGAATGGCATTGGGTGACTGTAGGTGTTGGACAAGGCAGAGCAGCACCAAAGAGGATAGAAAAAGAAATAGGGTTACATGCTCCCCAATGTTCATAGGCACTATTTACAATAGCCAAGACATGGAAACAACCAAAATGCCCATCGACAGATGAGTAGATAAAGATATAATATATTTATACAAAGGAATACTACTCTGTCATTAAAAAAGAATAAAATAATGCCATTTGCAGCAACTTGAATAGACCTAGAGATTATCATACTAAATGAAGTCAGACAGAGAAAGACAATATCCTATGATATCACTTATATGTGGCATCTTTTAAAATGACACAAAAGAACTTATTTACAAAACAAAAATAGACTCACAGACAGAAAGCAAACTTATGGTTACCAAAGGGGATGGTGATGGAGGATAAATTAGGAGTTTGAGTTTAGTAGATACAAAATACTATATACAGAATAGATAAACAACAAGGCCCTACTGTGTAGCACAGGGAATGATATTAGCTTATAATGACCTATAATTTAAAAATGTGAAAAAGAATATATATATATATTATATAATAAAATAAATAAAAATATATATAATCACTGAATCACTATGATGGACACCAGAAACTAACACAACATTGTAAATCTTCAATTAAAAAAAAATCATATGACCATAAAAAAGAAAGAAAGAAACAGGCTATGAACCTTGGCAAAACCACATATGCCACAGATGGTGAGGCTTCTTATTCTAGAATGATAGGACCCATGTGAAACTGTGTGCTACATTGGCTTTGCTGGGAGTACAATATTTTTACATAGGTACTTCTGCCGGTCCTAGAGCCACTCACTCAGACACTTAGGTTCAGCAGTGATGATGACAAATACACCTCTGAGGGGAGACCCCTTTCTTGGCACTTGTTATTTAAATGCTCTCCGCAGGCACGGCCCTTGAACCCACTCAGATTTACTAAGTAACCCGTCAGTGATGAGACCGATGTGTATCTAAAAAAAGCCTTTTTTTTTTTAAATTAGGAATGACCTGGGTTTTGTGTGTGTGTGTGCTTGTTAATATCAAGCCACTCAAGATAGAGATTTACCTATAAATAAAGTTTTTGCCATATCCACCAACATGTATTTATTTTAGTGATTAAGCAGTTCTCCAGAAAAACCTGAAGGACTTCAGTGCTTCATCTTTTTTTTTTTTGGTCCTCTTTTTAACATCAAACTTAAAACTTGGGAAAATGAAACAAGCATTAGGCAAGGATATTCATCCTCCTTCATATCATCTGCCACCTTTGTGCTTATCTTGTCTTCTTATTACTCAGGTCCAGCCTCCTAGGCAGAGTTTAACACACGAGATGCTGCTGCTGCTGCCGCCGCCGCCACCACCGCCACCGCTGCTGTACCACGCAGGTCATCGAGGGGCTGGCCTTTGTTTTCCAGGCACCCAAAGCTACAAAAAAATCATGACATCCCCGTGAGCAGGCTCCCTCAAGAGCAGATGGGGTCCTGATTCCCCACAGCTGACAGACTGACTCAGATTTTGTGAGACTGAAATGTTCACTGAAGACACTGGAGAAAGAATCCTCTAGAGATCCCAGCTCTGCAATGACTCATCTCCTGGAATTTCCATGTGAATCACGGCTCTGCACCTGGATGGAACTTTCTTTTGTGTGTGTGTGTGGGTTTTTTTTTTTTTTTAATTTGGTTCAACATTTGCTGCTAATGGGACTTGCCCAGCTGAGTGCTGGCTCTTAGGAAGCCCATGTTTCTTTGTTAACTTAAAAGAAAAGGGGAGAGGAAGGAGGGGAAGAAAACCCTCTATTTAGATCCCAAACTTCAGCTCAGCGGTGTTGCCGAGAGGGGTGAGGCTGGCTGAATGCCGACGGCAGACTTTGTCTCCCTGAGTTGGACCTGGGTTGTGAATGCCTCTCCTCCCTGTTCCTACGAGGTTTTGAGTTGGCTGCTGGTTAGCAAACTCCTTTTTACCCATATAAGTTATTTAATATAATAATGAAGCTCAACACTGTGGTAGGAGAATAGCCACTAGGAAAAAAAAAAGCAGAGTTTGTCATTGGACTGCATACCGTTCTTGAAGGACCCTCTGTTTTCTCTGCCCTTCTGAGCTGTTGACAACTCACCACCGTGTTCTACAGATGGATTTTTCAGTAGTTTTTTTGTTACTTAGTTTTCCATGATGCCTATTTGTTTTTCCTCTTGTACATTTAAATTATCTGACTTTAAGGGAAAAAAACCCCATGGCCTAATTACAATTTTTTTTTAGCAGACGGTTATTTTTCATTACCTTTTGGAGTCTGTTGGTGACTAAACGTGTGAACAAAGAACACGTTGGAAAAGTTACCCCCAACCTCCCTCCCAACTAGAGCAGTGAACAAAACAAATGAAAAACATCTTGCTGTGAACTCAGAGGTCGATCTAATTGTGAAATAGTTCACCTTGTTAAACATCTAAGTAAGTCTGTGGTTGCTCTGCAAACAGCCATTGTATTTATTTACTCTAGGAGAAACTGTAGAGTAGTAAACTGTGCTAATGAAAAAAAAGACATCATGTTCAAAACAGAGATGTATTTGAAACCTTAATGACATGATTTCAAAAAACAGAGCATGTCTGTATGCTGCACGCCACCTCAGCAGACCTAAAATGTCTCTGAGTTGTCCCTTTCCAACGAGCAATATATTTGACACTCTGCGGCCAGGAGTTGTGGTGTCTTTCTTTCCTTTAATGGTCAGGATTGGTCAGGGGTGAGGGAGGGGCAGGGGGCTGTAGTCTCCATCACTTAACTCAAGTGACTGGCGAAAAATGTGTCTGTCCTTGCCTGGGCACTGACTTTCTGAAAATCAATCGTAGCAAGCATTTGATAAGCATCACTTGCCAGGCACTTCTAAGTATGGCTCATCACCCCCTACTTTTTCAGTATGGATTCAGGCATATTCATAATAATGGTGACTTGTCTAAGGCCATGTAGCTAATGAGAGACACAAAGATTTGAGCTAGACCTCCTAAACCCAAAGCCCAGGCTTTAGATCACACCACCAAGCCGTCTCAGACTTCAAGATAATCTTCAAACTTGCAGGGACTCTGGGGATCGTGTTGCTGTGCAGATGTGGATTCTGTGGGTCTGGGGTGGGGCCTGGGCAATGCTGATGCCGCTGGTCCTGGCATCCGCAGAGTAGCAGAACGCCCCGCGGTCCTGCCTCCTCGCCCCTGCACTGCCTTTCCCTGAACTCTGCACCCTGCATGTGTTGCCATGACAGCAGCAACGTTCATCTTTCTTTCAACCGTGTACGTCGTCGGGGGTCTGCAAACCGTGGGCTGCCAGCCGAATCTGCTCATTTCGCTTGGCTCACAAGGTGACAATGGTTGAAAAAAGATCAAAAGAAGAATAGTATTTCTTGAGAGGTGAAAATTGTATGAAATGCAAACTTCCATGTCCATAAATGAAGTTACTGGCGCACAGACACTCGTCGCCTCACACACTTTGTTGTGACTGCTTTCTGCTACAGTCTTGTAGTTGTGACAGAGAGTGGAGGACACACAAAGCCTCAGATATTTACTCTCTGCCCTTTACAGAAAGTTTGCTGACCCTGATCTCTGGGTGGTGGTTTTGCGCATGACAATGAGTTTGCAAAAATTCTATACAGTTTCTAACGTGGCAGACACATCAAGGTGAAACTCCCGAAAAATTTTTCCTCAAGTGATATTACGCTTAAAAAATGGGATTCTAAGGCTATTCAAACACAAAGCTTCCAGAGAACGAGTTCCTGTTCTCATACACACCTCTTGCTTTAATGTCCAGATATGCCAGAGGTTTACACCGTGTGCTCGCTTACCTGGAAATCGTTTACCGTCTCCCTCTCGGTGCCGTCCGTGTGTGCGGGTGCAGCACATTTGTCACTGCCATGGCCGGATGGGAGCGTGGGCGAGCACAAGCGTGAACTGCACCAGGCCATGTCGGCATGTATGTAGGTGTGGATTCAGGAGGTGATCTGTCGGGGCACGCCCGCCGTGAATTCCTCCCTCAGCAGCAGGCTTTGAGCAGGGGCCTGGAGGGAGCCTGCCAACAAGCTGGGCTTGCTAGGGAAGGAAGCGAGCCCCTTTCACAATCTGAAGTGCCCCTTGTTTCTAAGAACACAGGCCCGGGTTCCCCAGGGGTGGCCGGCCTTTTATCTAACAAAGAGCATCATCAGAAGAGGGTTGTCCTGCCTTTGTCTTTGAGGATTTCCAGCTTTCCCTCTCCACTTGACCTGGCTCTAGCACTGTGCCCCTTCCTCTCCCCTTCCTCACCCCTCTCATACCCC